TAGCGCCGACCATGGTGAAGAGTGCAAGGCTGAGCCACTTACCGCATATGACACGGAGAGCAGATGCCTGAGATGACGTTGTTGAGGTTGAGGCAGCTCCTCCTGAAGGAAGTGCCAATGATGCAGAACGAGCCGTCGCTAGTAAAGAGGAGTGGCTGCTGCTCCATATCGTAAACCACCTCATCGTGCCATATATCTTCTTACTAGTATAATTTAATACCAATCATTTTCTTATTATTATTTATAACCTTGCTTGCACCTTTTAGATGTGAGCTTCAAATTTAGTGATATTGTATCGCTCCTTTTAATCATGGTTATTTGGTTTACTCCACTATCTCATAAAAATAAATCACATAAAATGGAAAAGAAGTTGAGAGATATTGAAAGAAATTGTAAACTACTACTAATAACTATAAACCATATTATACATCTTACATGTTAACATGTAACGTATTTAGAGCAAGTTTAATAGTATAGCCAACAACAAGCTCCAATTTATCTATAGCCAATTTAGGGCCTGTTTGGCATAGCTCCAGCTCCAGCTCCACCCCTCCTAGAGCTGGAGCTCAGCCAAACAGTTTTAGCTCCACCAAAACTAGGAGTGGAGTTGGGTAGAGCTCTCTCACAAAATGTACTAGAGTTGTGGAGCTGGGTTTAGGCAGCTCCACAACTCCACTCCAGACTCAACTCCTGGAGCAATATTTAGGAGTTGGAGCTATGCCAAACAGGTCCTTAATAGTCGATTCATACAATAGTGCTTACTATACTATTAATACCTGATCCCACCTGTCATACACACATTATATACACACATTATGTCTTGAAGTCCGTGCTGGAGCTGTCTACAGATCTGTAGCCCGCTGCTCTTCTCTCTCCTATTTTATCTCTTTAAAATATGTTTATAACTGACTTATAACCTCCTATTATACCTGCTCTTATAGGAGGCAGTAACCTAACCAGCCATACCAATGGCCAATAGTGCGCTAGCGGATCATATAGTTTTCACCATTTTCCTACGCACACATTCCACACTGTCAATAACCTAATTTTCTTTCACGAGAGTGAAGCTGCCCACCAACTTTGCGTGTCTGTGATGGACTCTCCTATTTCGTGCTTTGGCTATCAGGATGGGCCTCGGGTCCACAGCCCGCGGGGTCCTGACTCCTTATGCAAAGGAGCTCGAGCTATTATCAGTACTAGGATTTTTTTTCATATTTTTAATAAGATATTTACCATATCAAATTAGTTTTATTAATATATTTTGATAATATGTTTATTTTATATTAAAAATACTACAGTATTACATATTACTCATTGGATAAAAATCAAACGATTTGTAATATAAAACGGAGCGAGTGGCGGGTAGCACACGGTTAATTTCCGCAAACTTTCCCAACTCACCTTCCTCGTTTTTCGCGTGCATATTTTTTAAACTGCTAAACGGTGTGTTTTTTTTCAAAAAAGTTATATTGAAAAGTTGCTTTAAAAAACCATATTAATATTTTTTTTAAAAAAAATAAGTAAATCCTTAATTAAGCATAAGAAAACACGTCGCACCGTTTTGCGTGCGTGAGAGGTAAGGTTGTGTGAGTTGCCAACCTCACCTCCCGAACACAGCCGGAGCATATTTATGCATGTCGTGGTGGTCAACCTCTAACGGCCCTACACCTACACGCACTCGTGTACGTACGGCCCTGCGCGGGCGCGACCCTTTTGCCCGAAATTACCCCGCCTTCCCATCGCCCACAGTTACGCTACCGCACCACACCACGTCGAACATTTCACGGATCCGTCCCATCATTCCCCACCCCCTCCTCTCCTCCCTTTCCCCGCGATTCGTGCGAGGGCGACGCCGCCAGCAATCCCCCCCTCCCACACCCACTTTCCCCTCCTCCCCCCGCTGGCGAAGATTCCGGTGATCCTCCCCTTCCCCTCCTTCCCTCCTCTCCCGACCCCAGCGCAAGCCATATCCTTCAACTTCCCCAGGAGCGGCCCTCTCCCGAGCCGGGTGCGAGGTCTATACTCACCCCCCTGGATCGTCAGTTGTGACTACTCCGGCCCCGGCGAGGGCTCCCCCCGCGGAGTCCCTTGCGCCGTTGGGTGGAGACTTGTGGCGTTGATGGTGAGTTTCCCCATTCTCGTACCCATCTTTCCCTTTTACCTCCCGATGGATTCTAGGGTTTCGGGGGTGGTGTGCAATTTGGGGGCGAATTTTGCGGATGCGCATTTCGTCATAATGCAAAAAAATATTAATGCTAAATTGTGTATGTTGCACTTGGCATTAATTTCGTATTGCACTCGCCATTCTCTATCAGTGTAAAATAACTTTACAAAATTTATAAGTAGTACAACTTTTTTTAAGGGATGGTACAACTTATTTTAATAAAATAAGTTATTTTAATGTTGATTTCGTCTGATCCTAATTTTTACTTTTAATTGGACGATCAAAATAACCTTATTAGCTTAAATTTTATCTGCACGATGTATATAGACCTGGTATATGATGGGAGCGCCAACAAAACATATGAGGGCCATGCAGTGGTGAGTATAATGAGAACGTAGTAGCGATGATGATTAGGAGGTGTGCGAGTATGTTGTGCATGATTAGTGATATACGAGTTGTAAAAAATAATTATGAGTGTGTGCGTCTTCCATGCACGCATATAATAAAAAAACAATCTGTTTGTATTCTTACCAAACCGGTTGCTAATTTAATTTCACCATTGACTTTTCATTTTTCATTAACCATAATTCTAAATTTACATTGTTAATTGTTATCACAAATTTTAGTAAACTTACCATCAACAACACATAAATAAATTTTAATAAGTGTATTTTGGGAAAATCCTTCTTGGACTTCATCGAGGAGTACACTGTCAGGAAGAAGCCATGGCCGGCGAAGCAGAGGAAGTAGAGGATGAGGGCGATGGGCAACCCGGTTCATGTTCAACAGGCTGCTGCCCGCCATGTGGAAGCACATATCGGCCATGCCGGCCCAGACTAGCGGCGCCGTCAGTGCGACCGAAGAGACGAGCCTGATCGCCGAGACGTAGGCGAGCATGATGAGGTTCTTGAGCCACATCTTCGGGAGCATGATGGCGCCTGAAATCACGTTGTTGAGGTTGAGGCAGCTCCTCCTTCTGAAGGAAGCGCCCGTGATGCAGAACAAGCTGCCGCTGGTAGGGAAGATGAGCTGCTGCTAACAAGCTGCCGCTGGTAGGGAAGAGGAGCTGCTGCTGCTCCAGTTCATAAACCACCTGATCGTGCCGAGTATTTTTTAAAACCAATTCTTTTCTTATTACTATTTATAATCTTGCTCGTGCCGTTTAGATGTGAGCATTAAATTCAGTGTTGCTGTATCGCTCCTTCTAATAATGGCTCTCTGGTTTACTCCACTATCTCATATAAACAAGTCACATAAAATAGAAAAGGAGTTGAGATATTGAAAGAACGTGTAAACTAGTAACTATAAACCATATTATACATCTGAAATGTTAACCTATTACGTATTCATAGGAGGCAGTAACCGAACCAGTCATGCTAATTGCCAATATGTGCGCTAGCGGATCATATAGTTTTCACTCTATTCCCATGCACACATTCTACACTACTCCTATTTTTGTTTCACGAGAGTGAAGCAGAAGTTGTTTCTTTTCTTTCTTGCCCACCAATTTTGCGTGACTGTGATGGGCTCTCCTATTTTGTGCGTGGAACAGTTGAGTGGTAGAAATATCCAGTATTGCAGTTGAAAGATCCGAATCAGATTTGATCATTAGTTAAGGGAGTTAAAGTGGACTTATTCCGGCTAGCAGGATGGGCCTCGGGCCCATGGCCCACGGGTGGTTCTGAACACCTGATGCAACGGAGCTCGAGCTAGTATTAGTATTAGGTTTTTTTTGTTTTCATATTTTTTAATAGAATATTTACAATATTAAATTAGTTTTATAATATATTTTGATAATATGTTTAATATTGAAAAATACTATTATATTACTTATTTTTATAAATTTAATTAAACTAAAAATTTTGAAAAAAAATCAAACAACTTGGAATATACTACCTCCGTCCTATATTAATTGTCGCTTTGACTTTTTACTTACAACGTTTGACCATTCGTTTTATTTATAAAAATAATACAAATATAAAAAATGATAAGTCATACTTAGAGTATATTTGATAATAAAACAAGTCACAAATAAAATAAATAATAATTCTAAAATTTTGTAAATAAGACGAATGATCAAATAATTACTCCCTTCGTCCCACAATATAAGGGATTTTGAGTTTTTTCTTGCAACGTTTGAGCACTCGTCTTATTCAAAATTTTTTTGCAAATATAAAAAACTAAAAGTTGTGCTTGAAGTACTGTAGATAATAAAGTAAGTCACAAATAAAATAAATAATAATTTCAAAATTTTTTGAATAAGACGAGTGGTCAAACGTTACAAGCAAAAACTCAAAATCCCTTATATTATGGGATGGAGGGAGTACAACCAAAAACTCAAATAGGGTAGAGTTTGCGTGTGTGTATTTATAAGGGTGAGCGCGTGTGTTGTGAGTATTTGTATTGTACTGCGTAGTTTAAAAAAAAACTCAAAGTGAGAAGTAGTATGGGACGGAGACAGTAAAACGGAAGGAGCAGCTGGTAGCACACGGAGCATAAATATGCACGCCGTGGTGGTCAACCTATAACGGCGCTACACCAACACTCACTCGCGTACGTAACGTACGTACGGCGCCGCGCGGGCGCGACCCGCTTGCCCCGAAATTACCCCGCCTTGCCATCGCCCGCCCATAGTTACGCTACCGCACCACACCACCACGTCGAACCTTCACAGATCCGTCCCCTCATTCCCCACCCCCCCCTCCTCTCCTCCTCCCTCCCTCCACTTTCCCCTCCTCACCCCACCGCCGGCGAAGATTCCGGCGACCCTCCCCTCCCCTCCCCCTCCCCTTCCCCCCGCCTTTCCCGACACCAGCGCGAGCCATCTCCTCCGACCCCCCCAGCTGGGTGCGAGGTCTATACCCCCCCGCCCCCCCCCGCCCCCCCCCCCCCCCCCACACGACTACTCCGGCCCCGGCGAGGGCTCCTCCCCGCGGAGTCCCTTGCGCCGTCGGGTGGTGGAGACTTGTGGCGTTGACGGTGAGTTTCCCCTTTCTCGTACGCACCTTTCCCCTCCACGATGGATTCTAGGGTTTCGGCCTTCGGGGGTGGTGTGTGATTTGGGGGCGAATTTTGCGGATGCGCATTTCGTGCTGGTTTCGAGACGGTGCGCGCGCGTGTGCCTATGGGATTTGTGTTGATCTGTGCTTATTCCTTTTGCAGTTCACTTGCCGATGTGTACGATTTACTCCTGTGTGTATGATTTACTGATTGGATGCGCTATTCGTTATAAGCGGGGAAATTGCGGTTGATTCTGGTGGATGCGTGTTTCTTCCTTATTAGTGGCTTACTGCACTAGTACACTACACTTAGATTTATGTGTGATTCATGTGTAATTGTGGCATAATTTGCACTTCTTACTCCGCCTGTAGAACGCACCGATTAGATGACTCTTTAGAATTTGCTGATAAAGAATTACTGAGCTCTGAGCAGTGGACGTAGTTCTGTAAATTAAGAAATGTTAGGCATCTTTTTGTCAGTGGCATATACGGACACACTCAAAGTCAATACTTGTATTGTCTTGACCAAATAAGGATCTAAGCCATTCATTATATCCTATGCAATTAACTAAAACTAATGCCTTATTGGGTTATGCACATGCAATTATTCCTAGAGATAAAGGGTGCTGCTGCTTGCACTTCTGCTCATATATTCTTTTTTCTTCTTTTGCCTAGATACACTTTCGATATTATCTTTTTTAGCTGTTTTCTTCACCATGATTCATACTGTTATTTGAATTGTGGTAAGTTGATCCAAAATACTTTTTAATGGCCAAGCTGCTTTCCATATTTCAGGATGTTATATAACCATCAAACCAGATAACACTCAGTTTAGCACTCAAGCAGCCGTATAGTGACTTAGTGCAAGAAGCACGATGCTTGAGGATTTCTTTACTCTTACTGAGATGAAGGATGGCATTTCAACTGTAGCACGAATTGGAGAACTGGTATCTGAGATCAAGAAGCTCAAAAGTGCTGCTGAACTTAACACCGCTGACTTGATAAGGCAGTGTGCAACGGCTGCAAACACTCTAGCGTCCACCAAAAATGAAGAGTGTCTTCAGCATTTTGTTCAGCTAAATGGTGTCGGTTTCCTCCATCAATGGCTTCAGGATGCTCAGAACTGTGGTGAGGATATCAGCAATGCAGCAGAAGACCTAATAGTTGCAGTATTGTCTGCACTGGAGTGTCTTCCAGTTGAAAATGCACAAATTACTTCTTGTGGTGTTCTGCATACTGTTGAGCATCTACTTTCTCATAGCAATACTGATATCAACAAAAAGGCAGGAGTGCTTTGTCATAAATGGAGAAGTGTACCGAAATGCACTTCTGATGTCCATGACATGGTAGCAAAAGAGCGGAACCCAGATCAACTCAAACTCCCAGAACCTAAACCTGAGTCTGGTGGGGCAAATGAAGCTGCAATTGCAGGAGATAAGTCGAAGTCTGAGGTGATGGTCTGCTCGAGTGTTCCTTTGCCTAATCACTCCCAGACCAATGATAACTGTGATATAGTGAAGCAGTCGCTGGTGATGATACCCCCAAACTCCGATGGAAATGCCATTATTGGTGATGGGAACCCCTCAGTACCATCACTTGCATGTCGTAATGGTTTAGAAAATGTACCTGTGACGGAGGAGTCTTCTGCTAACAATGATGCAAAAAGTGGTGCTGCACAAGTCTCACTGCCAGATGGAACTGCAGAGGCCAAGTCTTCTGGGACTAATAATCCAGAAAATCCATTTGTTAGTAACAAAATGGATGTGCAGGACCAAAATGTTTCTATTAGCGTGGATATCAAGAAAGGTGAATCCTTTTTGGAAGATATGCCACACTCTGAGAAGAATACAGTGGGAGGCTGGGACCTAGCCCCCCTTGACATGCAAGATTCATCAGATGATGAAAGTACAAGGAAAGAGGAGGGGCCTACATCATCATCTGATACAGATGTAAAGGGCGCTGTCAATGAATTGAGGTTGAAGAGATGCATGACGAGCTTTGGGGATTCCTCAAAGGCAGCAGACAAGAAATCGAAAGCAGAAAAGGGAGATACATCAACACCATTAGCTGAGTATGATGATACTGATGCACTGGAAGTAGCTCGTCTGGTTGCTATTGAGGTAGAGCGGGAAGTCATTGACTACAGGGGACCATTTTGTGGTTCCCCTGATATTAATTCCAGACGGTCTGATAGTCCCGACTTAGAAGCACGCCGGCAGCCTGAACCGCCCATGGATGAACCGGATAATGATAATAAATCCTCCACTACAGGGGAGGATTCAGGAAGTTCCTCATCTATGAAGGAGGATGGTTCAGGCATCACGGATGACAGTGGTACTTTCAGTAGAAAACATACGCGAAGCATGAAGCTGGGAGGCATTGATCTTAATGAAAACCAGTGCACTGAGGAAGTTGATTGTCATACGAAGTCCACGCTTAGTAATTCAATTAATTTATCAACACCTATAGCTGTGGCTGCCTCAAGAACCTCATCTGTATTCCCAGCTCGATTGCACTTTGAAGGTGAACTGGGATGGAAAGGTTCTGCAGCCACCAGTGCTTTTCGACCGGCTTCTCCTCGGTGTACTCCCGATGGAGAGAAATCAGTATCTGCCTCTTCACAGAGAACAGGCAATGCTCTGTTTGACTTGAATGTTTCTGAAAGTGACAATGCTACTGCTGGTGAACCACTTTCAGCAGCCATCCTTCCGCTTTCTTCTGACATAGTGCGAAAGGATGCCTCTGCAACTGTTGGCCTGAATAGCCTTGAACTTGACCTTAATTGTCCATGTGACGATGAGGAAGCTGCAATCACCACAAGTAATGTACCATCATTTTGGAATCGACAACAATGTAATGGCGATTGGAGTCACCCTTCTTCCTCTTCATCTTCAAGGCAACCTGCAGTAAGGAACTTTGACTTGAATGACAACACACCAATCGTGGATGGCTTTTTACGAGGTGCAGATGAGTCCTCTGTCAAGACTTCTGGGAGGGATGTGTCAGACCATTCTGCAGTGACAATTCTGGGCAAGAGAATAGTTCTTGGACAGAAGGAACATAGCCATCAAAATGAGCATAACTTTCTTGGGCCAAGTGTGGAATCAAGAGATCCTGCAAGGTCTATGCAATCTTACGGGCATACACCCCCTGATTATAGTGTTGTCAGCTATTCGTCTCATTCTGCTTTGTCTTTCCCGTCACCTTTCTATGCACCAGGGACTGTTCCTTATATGGTTGATGCAAAGGGCACGCCAGTTATACCTCCATTGCCAGGTTTCGGTGTACCAACGGTGCCAAACTTAGGAGTGGGCACATCTCATCCATCTCTCGGCAGCAGAGCAATCCCACCCTCTAGTGAATTGAGCTATTTTCATCCCAGCATGGATCTCAACTATGGAAGGTCATATGAAGGTGCACGTAGGGAAGGTGCAAGCTATTGGCCTGTGTCTTTCCAAGGTCAGACCATGTTTGTGGACGAGCGCATGGGTAACATGTCACAGGGTGGCAGCTCTGGGGTGCCAGTATTGAAGCGAAAAGAGCCAGACTTAGGTTGGGATCTGTACCCACGTCGCTAGGTATGATGTTTGTCGCAATTGTAATCGATTTTTGTTGTTTTATTTATTTGGTTTGTTCAATGTACCGCTTGCTGTGGTACCTTGGACATTCTGGAGTATTTTTGGCACCTAAAAATAGGTCCCAGTTCTATTAGGTTGGAAGACATACCACAGAGAACTGAATAAGGCCAGCTACTAGTTAGATTTCAGAGATGTTGACTTGCCATGGACATTGTTGGCAGCTGAATACCTTGTGCAGATTTGGTTCTTTGTGAACGTAGCTTCTTTTAGTAGTCTTCATATAGCCAAACCACTGTACGGAAAGCTGAATTTATGTATATCATTGTAGAACTTATAATTAATAGATGAAATGCTTCCAGTTTGTCCTTTTTTTTTTGTTGTCTTAACTGGGTTCCTTAATGTAATTAAGTATACCCAATCTTGTAGCATGTGCTGAAGTAATTGTACTTATTAGAATCCAATGTGAAATGGCATAAACAAAAGAATTAATTCCCACTTGATTTGATGTATTCATGTAGATTTAACTTGCCTTTTTTGTCTCTTGATGTTGTATGGAATCCGCTGATAGTTGCTTACCGTTAGATTGGATGTATGATGTAGAAGGTTGTTTGCTGCATCACGGTAGAAGGTTCTTCCTTTTGGTATTGTAATAACTGACAGTATTATTCTCATTTCTGTATTGAAATGGGAGAGGTGATCCTCTCTTTCTCAAAAAAAGGGAAAGATTTATAACTTAACAGTTCGCATTACATAGGTACTAGAAGATTATCTATCTACCAGAGTAGTACGACTCGCTGATTCGCTCAAAACCGATAAGTTAATTAAAGCTTACTTCAAATTCGAGTAGCAACAGGGGAGATAAAAGCTAGTTATTTGCTAATATCTCCTAAAACTCTTGGACATGGTTAAGAAAGTATGTGGAATTCAATAGAGAAAAATTATGATTGATTTAGAAGAGTTGGTAGATGAAGAATTTGGATCGAGGATTAGTTAATCCAGCCATAGAACACGCTAATTAAGCCCCCTCTTTTTTCTACTCATCAAACTCCCATAAAACTCGCTGATTAAACCTGAAAAGAACATATCAAGAAACGCCCGAGAAAACTGAACTGTCCTCAGACGATAACCCAGCTGCAGGAGACGCAGTTGGACCGGCTGCAAGGGACGTCGTCGTCGCCGTCGGTCTCCCCGGCAATGGGGTCGAGGCAGCGAGCGGCGGCCCGGCGAAGTAGCTGCCACCGGCGGCGCCGCCTCCTCGGCGAAGGTTAACCGGACGGCGTTGCCCGCTCTCGCGGCGGCCATGGCTAGATAGATGCTTGCAGGTTTCTTGGATTCCTTGTATACTCTTTCTGCAGGATTACTACAAGAATTGCTCGATGTGGCTAAGCTTATCGAGTGTGCTTATAGACCAAGGACGAAGAGGAAGAGGAGATTCTCGCGCCATTTTTAGCTTACTCTTTTCGCGTTTCTTTTTCGATGTTATTTTGGCAAATTTGGCAGTTTTGCAGGTAGCAGAAAGTTATTGGTTGCTATTGGCCTAACTTGCAATTCTTCAGGGTAATTTCGTGCGCTGTTACAGGTGTGAATGATATTTATCTAGCTGTTGAGTGATGTTAAAATACATGATGTCTTTGTCGATAGCTCCAGAAATACTGTCAATTGAAAATCTCTCCGAGCAATGCAAATTATCACTTGCCATCTTCCGCCGATTGTAGCGAGCATGCCTTTTGGAGCAAAGTTGGGGGCGTATCTGACGATGAAAACAAATATGCCCAACAAAATGTGCATCAACGAACTATCAACTCCCTAAAATGTATCATTATCAGTTTACCATCGAACGAGAGGGCCTAAGAATGAATCTTTGTACCGCTCGAATAAGATTTGCCAGCACGATCATGTATCATCGGTTAATAATATCCCTGTCCCCACCGTCTTTCTCCTTTATTGAAATTTTTTATCCTCGATTGACTGTCACGCTGTTTTTTTTTTCAGCGGTGCTTCCTGATTGGACTAGAGGAAAAGGAGTTTGTGTTTGGACTGTCATCGCACTATTTATCGGGCGTTTCCGTGTTTGGTATGGGCGACTGGGCACGTGCTTGTTTATATGGCGTTGTGTGTTGCCTAGCTTGGTGTCTGATATGGACGTCCGGGCATGGGTTATTAGGCCATTCACAAAGCTCCGATGTGTCATTCAGCTCCGACTAGCCACGTAGATGAATTGGTTGCGTGGAGAAGAGAAAGGGATGGGGACCATGTTTTCATGGGGTTCTCGTGCACTCTTTTGGTACCAGGGACCTCATCAACTTCGTTAGGAAAAGTGAGGGAGTGGGTCTTTACGCGCAGCAGGAAGCAAGGGAGAGAGAGAGAGAGGAGAATACGATGGTAAAGAGGGGAGGGGCTCGCCGGCGTAGGCGAGGAGGGCAGCGCGGTGGCAACCACGGCGGCGACGACGAAGCCATGGCCATGACCATCCTCACGTCGCGCCCCGATGAGCCATCACCACTGGATTTGTCGAGCTTGGCCACGCCGTCGTCGAGACTCGCCACCACCGCGCTGTGCTGCTCCCCGACAAGCCACCGCCATCAGATCTGGCGAGCCTTGTCAGTGCCGCGCCGGGCCAGATCCGGTGAGTCGCGCAGCTCCAGTCGGCGGTGACCTCCGCGAGGAAGACGCAGAAGAGGCGGCGGCGGCGAGCGAGAAGAGGGGAGGCCAAGTCCACTGCCGCCGTCGAGCGCCAATCCCATCACCGCCACTATCCATGTTCGCTGTCGTCAAGTTCCATATCCGCCATCACCGAGGTGGGTAGGGGAGGGAGGCACTGACGTGGTCGCTGGGATATGAGAGGAGAGGAATCGGTTACGGAGGGGATGTGTTAGGATTTTTAAAAAGGTAATGAGGAAAGACAGGGAAGATGAAAAAGTGTATGTTGGTGGGGCCCATTATAATTAGCTTGCACTATGGGTTGAGTTGCTTTGTAGAGTTCCATCCAATATGGCATCCCAGGTTCGGTTTTTGTGTGGATGCACTGTAAACGCTCTTAATTAGGGGCATGTGCATGCTAGACACGTATGGATTAGCTCTACACGTTTTGCACGAAAGCTTTTGATATTTTCTAAAATAGCGAAACTCCTTTCGCTACCTACATCTTATTTTAAATTTTGCGAAAAGAAAACATTATCCTTAAGTGAAATATAATGCGAAGAAGAGAAAAAAAAAACAGATTCAGGGATATTGCTGTAATTATTAAAAGTATGATGAAAATTTTAACCCCCCCCCCCCCCAAAAAAAAAGACCCACCACGGCACCACACCATTGCTCCACCCCTCGTTCCAGCGGTGTTGGCTTCCCCGGTGTAAGGGGCTCTCGCGAGGTGTTCGCCTGAGTCGGACCGATGCAAACCTGCTACGCCATGCGCTCGCCTCCTCCTCTTGCCTCGAGCTGCCACCGTTGCAGTTCTCCTCCTATAGCGGCGCTAGCCTGTCCTCCTCTACCTCACGGACGTCCACTACTAGAAAAAGGCTTTTTCCAGGCCGCCAAATCATATTTTCGCAGGCGGACAAGTCATCCGCTTGCACCTCAACGCCTGTAAAAATAGTTGATTTTCGCAGGCGCGCAATAGATCCAGCTACGAAAATAGCTTCGAGCGCTAAAAAAAATGGGCAGCTTCCCATTCGCAATCCATTCCCCATCCAATCCATTCATTTCATCCAGTTCATCCAAAAATCACCAAATCAATTCATCCAGTTCATCCAAAATCACCGAATCAATTTTAGCAAAGAAAGCAAATAAAAACATTCAAAAAATCACGACCGCCGCCTAGCCGTCGTCCGCCGCCGCCCAGCCGTCGTCCGTCGCCGCTGCTGCATGTCTGCGCCGTGCCATCGTCCGCCGCCGCCGCACGGCCGCGGCCCGCCCCCCCTCCGGCCAGATCTAGGAGGGAGGGGTGGCCGGGAGCCACCGTGGCCGCGCCGCCTCGACCCTCCTCGCCGCCACCGCCCGCCGCCGTGCTTCCCCCGCCCCCCTCCGGCCAGATCTGGGAGGGAGGGGCCGGGAGCCTCCGGCCACTGCTCTCCCCCCGCCCCCTCCGACCAGATTTGGGAGGGAGGGGTCGGGAGCCGCGCCGCCTCGACCCTCCTCACCGCTGCCGCCCTCCGCCGCCACCGCCCGCCGCCGCCGCCGGGAGCACACGCCGTCACCGTCCCGCGCCTGGCTGCCGGTCCGCGCTTCGCTGCCGGCTGCCGGCCTCCCCCCTGCCCCCTCCGGCCAGATCTGGAGGGGAGGGAGGGGGAGCCCGCTGGCCGCCCCACACCGTCTGCCCCTTCCGCCGGCGGGGAGAGTGAGGGAAGAGGAGAAGACTTAGAAAAATTTCAGCTGCATGTGCCACATATATATACCACACTAATTTTCGCAGGCGCCGATTTATATTTTTGTAGGTGGTTATTTGGCTCTAAGCGTCATGTCCGCCAGCGAAAATAAGACCTCCACGTAAAAAAAATGCTTTTTCTACCAGTGATCGTGGCGCTGAGAAAGACCAGATGGTGTGGATCCGGTCTCTTTGGCGCGAGGGTGTCAATGTATCGGTCGACACTGTGTGTCTCGAGAGAAGGGAGGGGCCATAGGGCTTGGCGGCAGTTGATCCATGGGGACGACGACAAGGTCGGAGGCGTTCACTGGTGGAGAAACCCTTTGCAGTCCCGGTTCGTAACCCCCCTTTAGTCCCGGTTTCCAAACCGGGAGTACCAATCCGGGACTAAAGATCGCTATCTTTAGTCCCGGGTGAAATAACCGGGAGTAAAGATCGAGCTGACCTTTTTTTTTGCATGCCCCCTATTGCTGCATGGTTTATATATATATATATATATATATATATATATATATATATATAAACCATGCATATATATATGTTTCAATACATATATATGCATACATATATATATATGTATATATATATATATATATTATATTATATTATATGTATATACATGCATAATATATATGTATTTATACATATATATGTTATGCAAATGCATATGTATATAGATATATATATGAACAAAATATATTTACATTATAGAAAATGTGTACACATGCATATAGAAACATATGTAGTCATGTATTAATTACAATCCATTATATGTCCTAGCTAGCTACGATTTCGACGTAGTAGTACTCGCTGATAGCTCAGAAGCTAAGGACCGGTGAATTGTGTTTCCGTCGTAGTAGAATTCACCCTTGGGATCAAGGATTTCTTCGTTGATGAATCCCATGAGTTGTTCTTGAACCGCCGCGATAAATTCCTTGTGTGTGGTCAGGTTATCCCTCATGCGAATAAACTATATGAATGTATGAAATTGATTAGTAATTAAACAAGAAATCGCTACGTAATGAAATTTTGAATTTATTTGTACGTACATCGAGCTCTCTTGTGGTGATGATTTGGTCTGCAAGGCAGTGGCAATACTCGCACACGTAATAGCCGCACAAGTTAGTTCCTTGCTTT